TGTCTGGAGTTGTTTCTGCATCTTCTAATCTATTCCACTGATGTTTGGGTCTGTTTCTTTGCCAGTACCATACTGTTTTTATCGTGGTAGCTTTGTAGTATAGCTTCAAGTTGAGTATTGTGATACCCCCAGCCATGTCTCTGTTTCCTAGAATTGCTTTTGCTATTCTACGTCTCTTCTGGTTCCAAATGAATTTTTGGATTGTTTTCTCTAGTTCTGTGAAGTATATTGTTGGGATTTCAATTGGCACTGCATTAAATCTTTATAGTAGTTTTGGAAGTATGGCCATTTTCACTATATTGGTTCTTCCTACCCAGGAATAAGGAATGTCTTTCCATTTTCTTATATCCTCCTCAATCTCCTAAAAAGGAAACATTTTAATGGGACTTGAAAAGATAAAGAAGAACTGCAGAAGCCAAAAGCATGAGCCCTCTCACTGTGATTTCTCCACTGGTTCCAGCTCAGCCATTTCTGTGCCTGAAGGGCTATAGCTCTCCTTTGGAAAGCCTGTCTTCTCATGCAAGGCACATATGACCTCCTGCAGGGCTGGAGGCCGAAAGGCGATCTGTACCGAGTGCTCCTCACAGTGGCCCTCACTCTGTCTGCCCTCACTTCATCTTTCCTTGCTGCCATTTGCAGGCCCATCTGCATGGCCATCCAGGGCAGGTGGCCCTGAAAAACAGGGCAGGCAGAGTTCTGATTGCAGAGAGCCATGCCTGGTGGAGAGCGAAAGCAAAGAAGCTTTCACACTGGGATCTCCGTTGTCAGCAGAAGTGCTAGGCTCCCTTCTGCTGCTCAGACCTCCGGTCAGAATGGAGCTTGGAAACCCTTGACTAAGGAATCCTAGCAGCAAATCTAAGCAGTGTGAGAGTCTGGGCAATATGCTTAATTAGCTCACTTAAGCCCTTTGGCTCATTCTAACAGTATGACCAGCTCCACCAAAGGTTTGTACTGATTATATTGCAGTTTCACTGTAGACACGGCCTTGGGGGCTGTTGAACAAACTGAAAGATACTGCACGGTGTATCACAATCGCCTGTTACACTGATTCCTGCTCCCCACACTGCATCCTGACCATAGCCCACACCTGCCACTCGCTCTCCATCCCCGGCTTCCTCTTCAGCAAGCAAAGTTTCTTGCACCAGTCAGTCATACCCTAGTTTTATTTCCCCAAATACAAATGCAGTTGGCTGTCAGATTCCACATGACAACCACTTTCTCAAACAGAATGCTCAGTTTACTTAGAGTGAATGGATATGGACTGCATGTGTGAGGTTATACTGTCTTGGGGTATTTTCTGAGATGTAAGGAAATATCTCAAGGAAAACTAACGACATATTGACATATCATTTACAACAAAATTGTCCCAAGCCGGGTGCCATCTTACTACAGTGTTATCAGGAATTAGGGAACCTAACAAATATGCCATGTGAATTAAGAAATAAACGTACTTTGCTTATACACTCATCTGGCAGGGACTTCAGCCCCATGCCCGGACTGTTCTGATCACTGAGAAAGTGCCAGTGCCGGGCTCCAGCCCGCAGTCTGTCCGAGAGGCCACAAGCCACTGTACAATACCAGCTGAAACGTCGAGGAGAACAGTTCTACCTGATAAAGAGTCCGTGGCACTGAGGCAAAGAATCCCAGAGAAGGTGAAATCTGAGCCCAGACTTAAGCTGATATTCTCCGGGGTTTTAGCGAAATTACCCAGCTCTGCTGGGCGAGGTCCAGAGTCATGGGGCTCATTATGTGTGGCAGAGCCTCAGAAGTCGGATTGGATCTCTGGACAGAAGCAAGGTGGGACGGCACGGGGATGGGACATGACCCTGTTTCCTGAGCAATTTTAACAGCACCTTGAAGAATGCAATCAGAAACTGCGAGGCGCCTCATGGGCTCCCAATTCTTTCTTTTCTACCGCAGTTTTCCCGGCATCTTCCTCTCGCCATTCTGGGCTGCTTCTCCCCCTCCCCTTGACTTCCTCTTTCACAGCAGTGAATATTTAAAAATATGACAAAATGACATTTATTTTTTGGCTAGGGCAACATCATCGAGATGAGTTTTAACCACACCTCTGCTGGGCGGGAGAGACAGCAGAGCTGACATGGCCAGCGCCGCAGGGCTCCTCCTCGGCGCAGCCCCGGCGCGCCCCTGCCACTCTCTCCAGTCCCGCTTCCTCTTCAGCTCAGCAAGCGTCCTTCCACCGGTCAGTTACGTCCCAGTTTTATTCCCACAAACTCAAGTTCACTTTGCTTTCCGATCCCGTATGAACAATTGTGTTCTGAAACTGGGTACGCAGTTCACTTAGAATAAATATGGATGAGTTCGCATGCGACAAGGTAAACTGTCTCTGAAGGGGTCTTTTCTGAGCCTCCCAAGGGAATCAGAGCCTCTGTGCCCTGCCCTCTTCTCCGCCTTCAGTTTTCTCTCTCCCCCACTCCACATCTTCTTTCCTGTCTGTCACTCTCATTTCCACATCCCAGAGCCAAGTCTGGTTAAATAACAGGATTAGGAGACTGGGAGAACCTAAGACTGACATCATTTCCTATTGTCCTGTGGGAAATCACATCCCAGAAATGAAGGTAAAGGGCCGGGATGTAGCTCATGGCACCACGCCTGCCTCACAAGTGCAAGGTCCTGAGTTCGATCTCCAGTATCAAAAAAAGAAAAAGAAGAAGAAGGTAAAAAAAAAATACTGCTGATAAAACAAGATGACAGGTGCATTGGCTTTCTAGTCAGCTTTATTGTTACTGAGACACAATACCTGGCATCCACAATTTGAAGGAGAGGTTTGGCTTGGCTCACAGTTTAGGGGATTCAGTTCATGGCTGGCAGGTTCCAAGGCAGAAGGGAGCATGCAGGCAGCCCAGAAGCAGAGCAAAGGAAGAGGACCAGAAAGAGGCATGGGGAGCCAGGTGAAGTCACTTCCCCGTGACCACCCAAACGTGCCCAGCAGCATGCTTTGCTAATCTGCACAGCGTTTCTTAATCTAGTGAAGGTGACACATGAGGACTGACAGTCACAAATGTGCCGAAAGATCTAGGGTCATGTGCACCCTTGAGGAAAAACCACTCTCTCTCTTCATAGATGTGAGTTCAGACACATGGAGTGAGATTTACACAGATGTGCTCGAACTTAAAATCCCCTCGGACCCTCCATGCAGTTGGAATTCACCTGCTATCACAGGCTGTGGGCAACTGACCAGTTCATGTTGTTTCTTATCTCCTCAGTCCCCTCTACCTTCCATGATGGTGTTTTTCACAAGGACAAGGAAAAGCATGTGTAATATATTTGCTCACTCGGGCCCAAGAATATCTACTTAATGGGAAGAGGATTCTAAAACACTCAGCATCACAGGCAAGGTGTGGATCTGAGGTG